CTTAGGTTGGGATGTTTATAATTATATCATAAATATTTGTGGTAGGTGATAGTCCTTTGATATTGGGTCTGACATTTTGGATTTCGTCACTTAAAGTGGAAATATGACAAGAGCCGGGCAAATGTATAATAAAATATGCCAAAAAGTGAAGTAGCTCTCATTCATTCATGTATCCAAAGGACATTTATTGTATACCTATTTTGTGCCAGACACACTGGACTAAAAAAAGATTTTCCACTCAAGGAATTAATTGTTTAAAGGAGGAGACAGAAGGCAGCATACTTGCAAAAATTAGCGCTAATTTACAAGAGGAGTTCTTCAACAGAGTCACGCATAAAGGGATTTGAGAGCACAGGACAGGACGCAGTGAATTCTGCTCGGGGTCCTCACAGGAGCTGGGGTCTGAAGGGAGAGGAGAATTTTGCTGGCTGAGAACTCTCGCCAGAGGGAGAAGTATGAAGACAGGCCCAGTACAGATCGGGAAGCGGGTTCTTACTAGGAGACCGAATGTGTTCTGCAGGTCGTGGAAATCCACTGGGCATTTTAAGTACAGGCTGATTTGATTTTTACTTATGGTTATGATTTTATTCCCCCACCAAAAGCATTTTTTAAAAAAATGCTTTGCAGAAAGAGTGACTGAGGTGCCCAGAGGGGGTTTTCGTGAAGCCACGTGTGGTTTATTCATCTCCCTGCCTGATCCGGACGCAGGGTCAGAGGCTGGAGAGCTGGGAAGGACAAGGGGGCTTCCAGCCAGGGGCCCCCAGTCTGAAAACAATGTCGGAACTGAAGTGGGCTTGCCAGGGTTTTACTGGGCCCAGACCCAGCCTCAAATACAAAGGAGCTTCCAAACAGATCTACCACCCCCACCCGCCCCGCAGAGAGGAAAGGGCCTTGCAAGGCCAGAGGAAGCTCAGGAGAAACGTCAGTTTTAACTGGCAAGTGTAGCTGTGTGAGGAGCCCACTGCATGAGGGCTGTTGCTGATTTTAATTTTTTTCAATATTTTATAATGTTTTCAGTTTGTAAAATGTAATTTTTGTTAATTTGTACAATAGTGGGAAAACTTCCACAGAGCCAGCCCTGGAATCGCGTCGTCCGCAGCTGATTTTCAGGTGCTGCTGTGACTTCAGACGGGGAACTCCCTGCTCCTCCTCTTCTTCTTAGGTACTGGCACAGCACAGCCACCTACGCCATAGCCACCGAGGTGAGTGGCGGAGTGCGGCACCTGCCGCCGGCCTGCCACCCTGCGTACCAGTGGCCGGAGGACCTGCTCAGGCCCGACCTCGTCCTGCTGCTCACCGTGGGCCCGGAGGAGAGAGCGCGGAGGCTGCAGGGCCGGGGCCTGGAGAAGACCAGAGAGGAAGCAGAACTGGAGGCCAACAGCGTCTTTCGCCAAAAGTAGGTGTCCTCCGTGTGATGCGAGTGGCAGAGCAGGTGCCCCTGCAGGGAGGAGAGCCACTGGCACTTGTTTTAGGAGTGTGAAGAAATGATGTTCCCAGTTTTCAATGCAAGAAGCGATATCCTCTAAGTTATTTCAGCTGCCTGCGATGGGCTCGCTACGACAGAGCCGCAGCATCGTTAAGTGACGGCTGTCTGACGGGGGGTCACACCTTGCTTCTAGTCCTGGCTGTGCCAGATGTGGCGTGAACCTGGGCAAGACAATAAGGATCTCTGCACCTCAGTTTCCCCAGTTGTAATCTAATGGGCACAGAGTACCAGGTAGTGACCACAGTAACTTGTACCTATTCGGTGCTTTCCGTGTGTTGGGCATCATTTGACTTATAACGTTGTGTAACCTTACAACTTCCTTGCAAGGAAAGCATTAGCCATAGTTTACAGTTGACGAAACTCAGGCTCAACGCATTAAGTAATATTTCTAAATTTACACAGCTATTAAGTAGTAAAACTGGGATTCAAGTCAAGGTCTTTCTGATGTTGGAGACACCGTGTTTGTTTTAATGAGAAAGGCTTGAACA